AGAGAGAGAGAGAGAGAGAGAGAGAGAGAGAGAGAGAGAGAGAGAGAAAACATTTATCTGGTCTTGGTGTTTGGTGAGTGCCTTCCTGTGTGTGTTTGTGTTTTTGAGAGCCTGTCCCCCGCATGACGCTTCTTGCCTGTAGTGTGCGTGTGTGTGTGTGTGTGTGAGGCAACAGCTCTCTGTGTGGCTTCAACTTGAGTGCCTGTGTTGCTTGAAATCTATGTGTGTGTAAGTGTTAGTGGCTAGGATGCTGTGTGTGTGTGTGTGTGTGTGTGTGGGTGTGTGTGTGTGTGTGTGTGTGTTTGAGAGACGGAATGGGATGCATGTTTACAGGGTTGCAGAGCGGGGCTGGGTGGCGGCCTGCAGAGACGATGGGATTGGAAAACGAAGTCTGTCTCTGCGTCCCACTGCTTAGCCAGCGGGAGACGCGGCAGCTATCTCCTCTCTCTCTCTCTCTCTCTCTCTCTCTCTCTCTCTCCGTCTATCTCGCCCGCTCCGCCAGCTCTGTTCTCCGCTCAATCCCATTTTCTTTCTCACTTCAGAGCGCGTTCCTTTCATCTTTTTCTAGCCTCTCCCATAATCTTTTCTCTGCTCTCTCCACCCCTCCCGCCTCTGCATCTCCTGATGTTTTCTTGCCACATTTTCCTATCTGTCTTGTTTTCTTTGTATTCATCTTTCTCCCTGTTGCTTTTTTTTTGTTGTTTTTCTTGCTGTTGCTTGAGTCCCCTCTTTTCCACCCTCTAACTGCCTTTCCTCCATCACAGACAAAAGTGTGTGTCAAATTGGAACTAGCGAACTTGATATTGAAATGAAAAACAGGAACAGAAATTGACAAATGTTAGAATTTACACACCTTGGGGTTCAGACTCTACGCGTGGAATTCAGTTCAGTGGACAGAAGACAAAACTGTATGACAGTTTGTGTGCCTCCAAACTGCCTCTATATGCATTTAGTGCTCTTCATCTTGCTGTTTTATTTTTCTTCACCAGTTTTTGGCTCCAGATTCATCAGAATTGCTTTAAAATTGTATACAAAATGGGAACATTTGCTCCTAAAACACCTTAACTCACTCATTAAACAACATAAATCAGATGCAAGCATTGGTTCCTATAAACAAGTAACGTGCGTGTGTGTGTGTGTATCCAAAGCCTGATATTCCTCTGCACCGTAGAGCTCCATTGTTTTGCACCCAGCCTGTAGTTTGCATGAAAACGTCCTCACCACATCTCTCCCCCTCTGTCTGTGTTTAGGGCCGTAACCTGATCCCAGCGGCTCCAGGTAACAGTCGCCTCAACTACACGGTGCTGATTGGCGAGACTCCCTGCGTCCTCACCCTGTCGGAGAGCCAGCTGCTGTGCGAATGGCCCAACCTCACCGGACAGCACAAAGTCACGGTCAGATCACAACTCTGCGTCCTCTGCCTCTTCTTCTCTCTCTCTCTCTCTCTCTCTCTCTCTCTCTCTCTCTCTCTCTCTCTCTCTCTCTCTCTCTCTTTGACTTTTCTAAAGAAATCATGCACTTTTTCTGTCCCATTTTTGGATGCATTGGATGGATTATCTGAAAAAGAACTTGTTGAGTGTTATCGGCTGAGACCTTCATGGTAGACTTCTTTCTTTTCTTTTTTTAAAATCTTTCTTAGTCATTAAATAACTGGGTCAGGATTCAGTTTGCACGATTTCTTCAAAAAGCAGTTTAAAAAGGACCAAATAAAGACCACCTGTTCTCCGCGGTCCATCCACACTGACCCAGTAATTCATGTCTATGAATATGACAACACTCTCGCCTGACAGTATAAGCCCGTAACGTCACTCTAACCTTGTTGCTGAGTTATGTGAATAACCTCCCGACAGGTCCTGGGCGCGCTCCATTGAGCACGCACACCAAGGCTGCCGCTAAATATTTAACGCTTAATTACCATGTTGATCTTCATTGGCCTTCAGTCGGCCCGCTGCTGAAAATAAGGCTGTGGAAGTTTTCCAGGAGGCGGGGCCTCCAGTCAAATATTTGACTTCACAGTACGAAGAACAGATCTGCAGACTTTGCACCACTTCAGTGCAGTTAATGTCGAGTTGAATCCATTGAGAAACACACAGGGAAATGAAACACTTACTCACATAATGGGTTCAACATGACCACAGCGAACCTCAAGAAGTGTCTGCAGATTGAAGGCCGCGTTTCTTCCCATCCACTGAAGCGTATCCACAGCGTCAGCAGTTCTTCGCCGCAGGTGCTGCTGGTTTTTTGGACCGTCTCCATATTTTTCATTTTTCATTAGCTTCCCTTTACTTTGATGGTGTAGCCATTTAAAAGTGCACAAAATATAAAGCACCTTAACCCCTCATTGAATCGACAGGCCAATCCACCGCCCACGCTCAACTCCAATCGCATCGTTTCGTTGATTGCTTGTTCTATAAAATGACGGTTAATAGCGGGAGACGCTCTCCACAATTTCCCAGAGCCCACGATGACTTCCATCAACAGTCCCCAAATCCAAAGGCATTTAGTTTGTGATGAATTGATGATCAGAATTGTTGTCTATTGACTAGTCGCTTAAACGTCTCGGCACTAAATATGATACCGTTGAACATAATGCTGTTACACTGGCTTCAATCGTCTATGTCTGCGCAGTGGGTTGGCAGGGACTGTGACACTGTCTAGATTCTTTTTGAAACCCTTTACAAGATACCCACAGCAGAAACATATTTATTTCTTCATCTCAGAGAGCACCACCAAGCTTCTTCTACATGTTTAATTTGCCCTCTAGCATCCCCCTTTTTCCTACTGATAGCTGCACACTGTGTCAATTAAAGGCAAATATACTGTAGCACCTCCTTTTTTTGCATACTGGCCATTTTGGCTGTTGTGAGTTATATATTATAAAGATACCTACTTCTCAAGACTCATCAACAGGCTAACAATACCTGATCCACAAAGGAATGACGTTCATAAGACTGGGAAATAAACGACAGCAGGATGTGGGCAAACAGAGTTAAATTATGATAAGAAGTTTCCACTTTGTCTGCCGTTTGTGTCCACGACTCTGTCCAAGACTGATGCGGAAACATAAAAGGCGGTATTAAGAATAGAATTGTTTCTCCAGGATGCCACTGATATGCAGACGCTAAGCTTGTCTCTGAGCTCTAATCCAGGAACCTCTTTTGCTGCATAAACCTTTGTGATGTGCAAATTTTGTCCAACTCTCAGCAAAGCCCGACTAAAGTTGCACCTTTACGAAAGCCATCGTCACCGAGTTCTACTTCCTGTTTTCTGTGCGAAGCTGCAGCTTTTCTGAAGTGTTTTTTTTTATTACCACCATCAAGCTGTTGATGTCACTTTCATTTTTCTAGAGTTTCGTATTGTTGAAGTTACGACACGGCGCCGAATAGTGCTGGAGAAAGTCAAAGAACGAGCTTACGAGTGGTGTCCCGGGGGGCAACCGTTCAGCTTTGCGTGTCCAGAGCTGTCAGCTGTCTGCAGACTGATGCACTCCGACTGGAGCAGACTTTCAAAATCACCGCGCGGCTCCTGGAGCATCTGTATTGAGGAAGGTCAAACCTTGACGCACGCAGCGCTCGCTCTGAATATACGTATGTGTCTGAATAGCCCGCCACTACCCACGACCACCCCACCCCACCCCCTGCCCCTTTTAAACTTATCACCAATGTCCTTTCACAGTCATTTCACTATATCTTTATGACATTTACTCCCCGCTAGCTACAGCCAATATACCTAGAAAGCCACTGACAGCGCATCCATGTAATTCAATATGATAGCTCTCAACGCAACCAGCCAGTTCCAAGGAGGAACTCGAATTTATATATATATATATTTTTTTATTTATTTTTTACGCCCCTTTTCTTTTCTTTCTTTCTTTTTTTTGAACAAAATGTCATGTTGAATATCGGAGCGATGTGTTGGCGGAGTTAGTCCTTCGTCTGACAATAGCCAAAGAAAAAAATGGAGCTGTCTGTTCAGATCTCTTCTGGTGTGTGTGTGTGTGTGTGTGTGTGTGTGTGTGTGTGTGTGTGTGTGTGTGTGTGTGTGTGTGTGTGTGTGAGAGAGAGAGCGAGCGCTCATATGTTTGTGTTTACGTGCACATCTTTGTCTGTGCGGAATGCTGCAGAGAAGGCCACAGCTGTAGCACAATAATATTCCCCATGTAGAATGACCTACATACAGGGGACCCCAATGGGTGTCCAGACGTACCGGGCGTGTGTGTGTTTGTGTGTGTGTGTTTGTGTGTGTGTGTGTCCCTTCAGTTGCTCAGCTGTGTGTTGTCAGCTGTGCGCCTCCCTTGAGTTTTTCGAAGAAACTTGTTTGTTGTTTTGGCCTTCAGCTTTTTAAGTTCCTCCGTCAGTCCTTCAGTCTGTCAGGAGAGTAAAAATAGACAAAATGCCTCGAAAATGTGTCACCAACTTAATATCGCTTATACTCGCGCTGCATTCAAGTCATCCAAGGATACGTATCCCCCGGATATTGGCACCAGATATAGCAGTGACCTCTTATTCGATGATGCAGACTAATTTGCATTTGTTTTATTGATAGATTTCATATTAAGGGCCTTCTATACATCCAGTATGTGAGCAGAGATTTTCTGGTGACCCAGGTCCTGTATCATAGAAGTCCTTAATCTAACTCGTGCTTGGAGTGGCACCATACAGTTTCCATTTCACTTAAATAAACATTTGAAATACTATTAATAAATAGCTTTTTAGCACTTTTTGCAAAGGCGTTAAATGACAAAAAGAAAAAGGCATTTTTTGGTGAACTAGATATGTATGTTTTCTTCACCCTCTTATTGAGCCAACAGTCCTGTTTCCCTGCAGACATTCGGACGCGCCAGAGTACGAAAATAACCGGTGTTCTAGTAATAACGTCACACGTTCATTACATTCACAACAGCTCCATTTTATTCAAGTGCAGCAGTAAGCCGTGACAGTGAGCCAGCATGGATAACACCTGAAACTGAAGCAGTGGAGCTTCAGCCAGTGTATTTACACCGGTGCTTTTCCTACTGACATCGTGACATGTTTGTCCTCAGAATCCCCAAATGTCCTCTATCATGTGTCCCTGTTTTTGGTATCCTTATCGCCACAGATTTCTATCCAATACTGACACAAGCAACGTATAATAACGTGCTCAAGTTGCTGCATTTTCCTTGTGAGGGACACAGAGGGAACATTCGCCACCTTTTACGAGGATGGCCAATCAGTGTTTGAAGTACAATACATTCCTCAGCACGTGCTATAATGGCTGCAAAATCTGTTCTTCCTGCATCCAGCACTGTTATTCAACGTGACAGCCATAGTTGCATTCAGGGAAGAACTGCAGGCTGCTGTTTCAGTTTGGATGTCTAGTCTCCGCCTCTGGGTAGCCATGGAGGCGTGGTCTAATGCCTCTCAAAAGCAGAACTTCTTTGCTCTCTCCGTTTGTATTGCAAACCAGCTACGTTTCCAACAAGGAAAATACGAGTGTAAAGGATGTAATGGCCGAGGATACACTTCACAATGTTCCGGCTGATTCGGCTATTCAGCCGTATCAATGCAGCGGAGAGAGGCCGAGGCTGCATTAGCCGCGTAGGAGGATATAGCCGACGGGGACCCTCAACACAATGCATCCTGGTACATGTAGGCACCGTCAACACGTTTCCGCCAGAAGGAAAGCTCAGCTTTCTCCGTCATCAAAGCACCATCTGGAGAATCTATCGCTTCAATTGACCACATTTACATCAACACTGATTCGGCAAATACAGATAAAAGGTTTTTCCCTTTTTAAACTGTCTGTGAGAACAAGAACACGCCTGTACCAACCATTAAGTGCTTATTGAGGATGATAAACAACAGGTCTAGATGAATCTTAAACCTTTAAACCTTTAAACCTGTTCTTATTGTCTCCTGAGAGAATTATCTGGCTCTTTAGCTGCTAAATTCTCCAGTTAATGAGCTGAAAGAAGCTAAAAGGCTCAGTTGAGCCGAGGGGAGCGATAGAGGTTCATCACTACGAGCGTCCCTAAAATGATTAGAGCAGCTTTAAGAAAGGTTCAACTGTTTGCGAATCACCAGTCCACACGTTGAGCCTGTCCAATATGTCGACAGCTGCACCATTATAACTTGAATGAACTATGGTAACGATATGAGGCTCCATCAGCTTGTGCAGACTTTATTATTGTCTTCAGATAGACTGTCGCTCTGCCACCTACCCAATCCAAACATCTTGCGTACGAGTGAATTCAGTTTAATCTCCGTCTTTGCAGCCCGATCGTGTCCACGCAGCTAATTGGCTGCTTAATCTAATCTAATACATCTAATTGGCTGTACTGTTGCAAATTCAATTTGTAGACGCTGCCTACATCGATATTGATATAACAGCTTCTCTATTTTACTTCTTTAAATCAGACTTTGATAATGTTAACATGCAAGTGCACTTAGGAGAGCTTCAAAGTGCATAATCACACCTCATTTTGATCGGTTATCAACCCCCCTTGTGGATAGCTTGATTTGATGGATTCCAGCGCTGTGAGTCTTTTTTCTTTTCTCTCTCTCTCTCTGAGACGCAAAGCCCTTATGTAAATGTAGTTAGTCAGAAAAAAAGAAAAAAACATTACATGTGTTTGACTTCCCATAATTACCAGGACTCCTTGGGGAGAGATTTAAATGCTGCTGATTACTTTGTTTGATTACCTATACATGTGTGCGAGTGTGTGTTCCAGGTGTCTGCCGTGTGTTGTGTGCATACTCTGTCTGCGTCCACCTCCACCGCACAGCTTTGACCTCGGTCGGCGTTCCCTTCTCTGACCTGGATCAGTTTGTTAAAAGTCGACAGTGATAAACGAGGACATTAGCGGCAAAATGTCTTATCTTAAAAAAACAAACAAATAGATATCTGCGGAGAATGCAGAAGGAGTGGAGCTGACTGTGCAAGTTAATTTGTGAGGTCCTCATTATCAAAAGCGTCTGAAGCTGCTCTCCTAAAAGGCCAGACGTGAAAACATTTCCCACAGGCAACGTGTTCACAGCAGTCGAGGCGATGTGAGGCTGTCAGAGATCGGGCCTGTTTAGTGTGAGTACAGACCAGATGAAAGTTTAATGATCCTTGTGGTAGAAATCGGGTCAACAGACTTCTCTTTCATCAGACCACTTCCTTTTGATCTCTTCAGACCACCTGATCTGTTCTCAAACCACCTGCTGCTGGAGAAGTGACCGCTGCCTGTTTTTTTTTTTTTTTTATGTCTCTCTGAGAGGCGTTCAAATCCTCAGATTGGCCCAGGAGAATCCGGTATAGCAATTTCCTCTCCCTCATCGACTGTGGTGGAGCTGCCTTGGGGAAATGCGCTGAACCTGCAGCCTTTTTAACCCTCAAGCAGCTTCGGGGCTTCTTCTTTTTTTAGCTCCTGTCACATTGTTCTCTCTGTGGCCTTGTTTTTACACAGCAATATATATGTCCTACACCTTTATCAAGCAAAAACTCATTCAATTCTTGAGATGAGAAAAAGTTGAAATTCTTTGATAATTTATTTTAAATAAACTGGAAATCAATAGAAGTGCCCACAAGTGTTACCAATATACTTTTTAAATGAGGCCCCACATGCTCTATGTGTTGAACTATTTAACTTTTACAACCTGTTATTACAACTTTCCTCTCTAGTCTCAGCCGCTTGCAGTTCAGTCAAACTTTCATTGTTTTTGTTGGTCAATCATGGCTTCCCAGTTACACTGAAGAGTGCACAGTTAAATGTTTTTATATGAGACATGTAGTTTCAAGTGTTTTTGATGAAATATCACAATTTTAAGCTTCGATTTGGCTACCTTTTTTGGGAAGGAAGCGTAAATTACACATGATGCGTTCAAGGGCCATTGGAGAGTTGAAAATCCAACGTTAATGTCTGTTTTTAAAGTGTCTGGCTATTATAAACGCTTTTTTGCCATTTGTTTCTAAAGAAAACGTGATTTTCAGACCTGCTGGTGGGTTTTGGGCTTTCAGATTAAAGTTGTTTTAAGAAAAAACTACTTTCCTGGAGTAACAAATATGTGTATTTTCTCCCTTGATCATTGAAAACCAGTTGTGTGTGTGTGTTTCCAGATCCGTGCTGGTGGGTTCGAGTACTCCCCCGGGACTCTTCACATCTACTCGGACAGCCTGCTGACGCTTCCTGCCATTATCGGCATCGGCGGGGGTGGTGGCCTGCTTCTGTTGGTCATCATCGCCGTCCTGATCGCCTACAAGAGGAAGTCAAGGGACGCTGACCGCACTTTGAAACGTCTGCAGCTCCAGATGGACAACCTGGAGTCCAGAGTGGCCCTGGAGTGTAAAGAAGGTAGGGAACAGTGTGTGTGAACTTTTAATGCACGAGCGTGCAACTATACAAGACGAGAAAGCCAGTTGAGGATAATGGTATGAATGTGCCAGCTGAAAAATGTTACAGGACGTTTCTATAGACTCGATCAATCAAGCAGTCGGATGCTGACAAATACAGCGTACATTGTAGGATTACAGAGCCCGGGGAGGTGGTCATTCATTTTACTTTTTATTTAAATTGAATAACGATTAAAAAGTGTTAATATTCTCAGAGATTAATGTGGTGAATTTATTAGAAAAAGCCTCACAAATTCACAAGACAAAAAGACTTGAATGTTTTCTGAGGTTATAAAGTCATAAATTGGAGAGAAAACACCAAAATAGTATAAATCCGTAGCTGCCGTCGGCGTTGTTGTGGTGTTTTTATGGTGAGATGCATATACTCGATTTCTATCATGTTCTTTATGTGTTCTTTTTATGAACATAATCGACTTTATCCGTATGTTAGACCTGTTTCATTTTGCCAATGGGTTTTCTGAAATCCTAAAGATTGCTCACGAACGGCTTTTGCAGAGATATATATTTATTTATATATATAAATAAATATATTTTGTATTTCCATTTTTTTATTCATACTACACTGGCTTTTTTTAAGTGTGTGGAACTCTACTCGATGGATACAAACTATTCTGAGATATTCGGTGATGGAGAACACTGTCTAACGAGTCGGGTCATCTGTCCGTACCTCCGAGTGAAAACGCACCACAGCAGCAGAAGAGCGTCAGAAAAAGACATGCTAAGCGTTTGAAGGGGGATAGAGAGAGAGAGAGAGGGGCGATGACAGGTCAACGTAACGAGGGGATTGTTCGCAGAGACATTAAAGGTATAATGAGTGAGCGGTAAAAGGGAGAAACATGGATAATAGACAGACCAGGCTGACAGGGAGCTGATGAGGTCGACGTTTTAGCAGCAGAGTGTAGATAACTGATGTGAGGACAGCCCAGGTGTTTACAGTCGATGTAATGACACAGGCATACACGGCCACGATACAAGGTTATAATATGATTACACTACAGCCACGACATAGAGTCAGAGCCCTTTCAGAGGATCCCTTGTCGGACAAAATGCTGCAACAGTTGTTGAATTAAAGTGCTCCAGTTTCAGGGTGATCGGTGCATGATTTCTGACCTTTTCAGAAAGAAAATGTGTTTTTACCTTGTATCGTTTTAAACGTTTGTCTAGAACTAGAATAACCCTGTACTTTCTTCAAAGATACTCCAGACGTTATTAGAGTCAAATAATAGCACTCCGTTTTCCAGGAAATGAAGCATGGCCTTATTCCCACCCCGCCCCGCCTGCTGTACTCTCAGCTGGCCTATAGATACGAGACAGTGTGTGTGGGCGGAGGAACAGATGAAGTGGGCGGTCCGCTGTGTGTGCGTGTTCACAAAAGTAAGTGCATGTGTGTGAGGTTCGCTTTTCGCTCTGAGAGCCTTGAGGGGAGGAGACGGGGGATGTTTGGTTCAGTCATCTGTGAGGAGCAGACGTCACACTGAACACTGGGATCCAAACTAGCATATTAGCAGTCATGCACAATTACTTTCACATTAGAAATGACAACTGATGACTGGAAAGTGTCACTTTTTGGTTATGGGGAGGTAATATAGTTGTTTTTTGAGACACTTTATAGGAGCAAACAAAGTGCTTAGGGGTTTCTGAACAAATTCATGGGCAGAGTGTTGTTTCCACGCTAACGTAAGCACACTTCTCTTCCCAGACTTTGTGTAATCTGAGGTCCTTTCTTTGTGTACTCGAATAAGAAATACATGAGGATTTTCCCAGGAAAGTCCTACCAGGCAGAGCAGCCCAAAAATCAATATTAACTGGCTATAAATGAATTAGTTTATGAAAATAACTTTATGAAACTCTCCACTTGAGCACAGGGAGCAACTGTCAATGCTAGTTGCAGACCAACGCAGTTGTCATTTTCATGGCCATGTTGTGGAAGTACGGTTTGGTGTGGTCAGGCACATTGTTGATGCATTGTTGTCTTGGAGCAGCAGAAAGCGATTGCACCATTGACCAACAAAAACCTGGACTAAAAGCCAATGGCGCAGTATATTACTATTTAAGTATGTTTGGTTGTAATTGTCTGTAGATAAATAAACCTTGTGCACTGATTTCAAATTGTGGTGGAACTCTTGACTTTAAGAAGGACTATGTACATTTTTTGAGAAAAATTACATCAACTCACTGTTACGAATGAAAAGTTGAAATCATAAGAAATAACAGGCAACTTTTCACAATGTAATACACTGTACTTTAGCTGCTACTGCCTTACATGGTCTGGTTTAAACAGGAGCTTGTGGTGGCTAATGCTGGCTTATTTTTAGCAAACTTTAGATTGATATCGCTGTAACCGACACGTCTGTGGGTTTTGTTTTTGCCTTTTATTCTAAGTTATGCAGTCAGATCTTCTATGTGATGATGTCTTTGCCGCTCACTCAAAAGAATCTTGAGAAAAACGTAGGGAATTCAATTGAATATCTTTGAACTGCTTATGGCCACATTGGCTCTGTTCAGTGAAAGCCCTAGACTCGCTATGTTGAGCTGTAAATGAGAGATTGATTAATGACAGAGGAGGAGTTTTGATGAGTGGAAGTAGTGGGGGGCCTTTATCTCTTATTCTGCTCCTTCTGTTCTACCTATTTCGTTTTTTGTGTCCTCGTCTTCACCTCTCTACTCTACTCGCTACTTCTCTCCAGGTCTTACCTTTACGCGCTGATCTTTCTTTCTTCTCCCCTCTCTTTTTTCCCCTCTTCCTTCCCTTTATCTTCTGTGCTTCCTCTCCTCTCCATCTCTCTCGTGGACCAAACAGTCCAATAACAGCTGGGAGAAATTATGCATGAAAACTCATCTGTCGCTCTCTTAATAATTATCCACTCATGCAATTAATTGACTTTCCTTTCCAGGAACTTTGTTTTCTGTCTCCTGGTTCTCTCTCTCTCTCTCTCTCTCTCTCTCTCTCTCTCTCTCTCTCTGTCTCTCTCTCTCTCTCTCTCTCTCTCCCCGAGCTAGCTTTCCCTTTTTATTTCATTAAGTTTGGGTCTTCTTTTTTCTTTTTTTTCGGACGAGCAAAGATTGAATTTGTCGGGGCTCAGACACCAAAGAACAAATTCAGTTAACTACATTTTTTCGCCCAGTCATTTTTCTTATAAGTGTTATCAAAAAATTCTTAGTTAGACAGGAAATTACATTGCCGCCTTTTACGTTACATGTCCTTCACTTAAAATAACTGAATTAACTCGGGATCAGTTATTATTTTGAATATCTACTTATCCTTGCTTCATTCTTTCCTTTTAAGTTTTAGTTCTTATTTGTTGCCTTTGTGGGCTTCTTGCCTCATCAGAGCTTATGATTACTAAATTTCCCTCCAATCTCTGCTTTTCATCAGATAATGAAATTGAAGATTTCCATGTTACAGATTGATAGCATCAAGCTGGTAGAACGTGGCGCTTTGTAATTCAATAAAGGAAGTCATTGCTTTTTATGTCACAGGGAGTATCCTGCAGAGCTGAGGGAACTAGTCATTCCAAATTTGGGCTTGTTAGGACTACCCCACATGCGGGGCAAGTTGCTGAAGTCCTGTAGCTGACAAGCTAAGGGCCAACGCGCTAGCAAGCTGGAATGCTACTTAGCGCTGGACACAATAGCTCTCCATGCAAGCTTCTTTCTAATTCCTCTGTTCTGTGCCGGCATGTTGTTCTCAGGATTGTATCTAACTAGCTAACTTGCTAACTAACACTTAGCAAGCACATAAGCTCAGTTGCTAACAGGACAATAAGCCATAATTGTTTGTTCAATAGACACATTTGTATCATCTACTCCTAGCTGTTGAAAAAACATGCCTCTTTTGTGTAGCAGTTGACACTCTGGCATAGGCAAGTTACATAAAACTAGATGACGCAACATAGCTAATAAGCTACGTTAGCTCTTAACTCTCCAGCTTGGCGTTCCGTCAAAGGTCAGCCATTGCAAGATAATTCCCTATCAGGAAACAGCGTGAATTCCTGCGTCAAAGTTCACCAAAGTTCCATTTACTCATCCCCAAAGGTGTGTCCGAGCTTTTAGAACTAGACATGATTGGTTTATTGGACCATGTGGTCCAGGTTGCAGGTTTTTTGATAAAATTACGTAATCGATGAATTCTCACATTATTAATATCACGGGGCAATACTCCTTGATTATTGTCATTTCACAACCCAATATGATGTTCAACAGTAGTGCTGTTAGTAGTTTGTCCGTACAAAACTGCACATGTTCACCATTCCTCATCCTGTCACCTTCTCTCTATTTGTCCATTTTTTCAAAACAGCTTTTGCTGAGCTTCAGACGGACATCCACGAGCTGACCCAGGAGCTGGACGGTGCTGGGATTCCCTTCCTGGACTATCGGACATATGCAATGAGGGTCCTGTTCCCGGGAATTGAGGACCACCCTGTGCTCAAGGAGATGGAGGTACGGGTCAGTACCCCACCAACCAAGCTTGAAACTGACAAACAAACTCACCATAAGTCATCAATTCCAGTAGAGCCGAGAACTAAGCCTTTGCACTGATAAAGTAACATCAGAGGTAGAGAAAGCAGAGTGAAGTTGCAGGTGGTACTACCCCAACTTTCATCACTTCACATTGATCTCCTCACTTCCCCAGTTTCATGCATCCCTGAACACAAGCATTCAATCTTGTATTGCTCTATGGTGTAGAAAGAAATGAGAAACTCTTGACATTGTGTATAGCAAATGATTTATTTAATAACCATTTGATTTGTTTTAAATTAGCAGAAAATTACAACTTAATTCATCGACAACAGTTGAACAGTTCGCGCGCTGCGTGTTTAGGAATTAACCGAAAGTTTGTGACGCCGTATTCAGCTTGTCTCAATGAATGCAAACGTTTTAAACTGAGGAATGCTTGACTAAAATGAAATGTTATGTAAGAAATACAAGAAGATAAAGAGATGAAAAAAAGAGCGCATTGCAAAAATGAAGCAAAATATGATGGGAAAGGGTATTAGAGCAGAGAGGGAGAAATGAGATGCAGGGTTACCAGGATTCTTACTCGCATTATACATCACTGTTAAGTTAGTAATTAAGTCAGTACATGCAACCACCTTGCCAGCACAGCCGAATGGAGAGAGTGCACACGATTTATAAGGACATTTTACCACTGAGACCAAGGCAAGTACAATTAATAGTGTCAACATAAACTACTCCCCTCCAAAGCTAGCAACCAGAGAGCCAACTTTGTAATCAGCAAGTATCATTAAGATGTAGAATCTGGTGCTGCACCATTGACTTTGATTGGAGCGCTGACTTTTTGGAGTCAAGGAATAATTAGTTTGACCTTTCTCAGCTTCATTTAATCGTTCTAATCCAGAAAGTGGATTTATATTCCTAGAAGAAGAAGAAGAAGAAGAGAAAAAAAGCCCTCTGGGCGGTCTCATCTGATTCATCCTATCTTATTTTTGGCTAGACGAAACAGTAGCGATTACTTAAATACAGTCGAATCATCGTTTGATATAGAAACTAGCCCATAGTGGCTTCCAGCAGAGACTATAAAACGTATAGCTGATATACTGAAAACTACTGACAGTTAGAAAGTCTACAGAGTAATTAGAAAGTTTTGAACAACAGCAATTTAGGAAAGAATCCACTCAGGCTCCATATTGTCCCTCCTTTGCATTTTATTTTACCACTTTCGCAGGCTTGCATAAAGTCGTGTGGCATAATTCAATCGAGTATCAAATCTAAATCCTTCTGAGGCCCTTATTGAATCTAATTAGGTGAGGCTTTCAACATATACAAAGCTATAAATAACAAAAATTCAACATTTAATTAAGTTTTGCGGTGACATTTTATTGTGTGAGACACCAGAAACCCTTCACCTAATGAATGTTCACAACCTGCAGACACAACCTGAAATTTAGATAACAAACAGCTTAGAATATGAAATGTAGATTAATTGTGTGAAGCAGGTATAGCCTACTTTTTACATCTTGCTTTTCTGCTGCTTGTTCCAAATATTAAATGTGATGTAAATATTGATATCATGTGGAAGTTTAACGGGGAACATTCCTGCATCTGTTTTAGGACCCATCAGCAGCACAGACGTACATCTTACCATTTGTTGGAGAGAGTTAGCTTCAAGTTAATTTTCATCTACAATGAAACAACACATTACAACAAACTTGAAAAAGAAGATGGAACACATGATACAAAATGTGACATAGCAGTGCACCATGTCAGCAACCGATGTGTGTTAGACAAATGAATGGTGGAATGGATCAAACAAACTCAGGACCTTAACCCTGGTGGTTATTTATTCCCGCTAGTTATTTATTCCCGCTAGTTACAGTGTTACTATTATTACACTTTTATTTGAACACATGCCATGATCTCTTTCTCTAACCTAAACCGAGCCGTTTTCTTGCCCAAACCTAAGCATTTGTTTTACACCGTTAACCGCGTGACATTGTGCGTTTCTGCAAGCGTTACGCGATGCTGATATGAAACGTGTTCATGAAACAAGTTTTTGATTCAGAAACGTTGATTCAAAGCATCCAGATGTTTGCAGAAACGTACAATGCCAAAAAATGTTTGGCTCGACTGAGTTGAGAGTTTGTTTTCAAAAAAAAAAAACTAGCTTTGGGCTTGTACAGACACCAGCTAGCAGAGAGCACGTTAACCAGACAACAGCCAGAAGTTTCCTTGCAGCTGTTAAGGAAATAACGTTAGAATAATCTCCCGCCGGGTACATTCATCATTTTAGTTGGATGACCCCAAACTATTATTATATAAAGCTTTACATATTGTCCCCCCACAAATCAGCTCAACTTTTGCTCACTTCTTTGTGAAAGCAAGTCACGCCTAGTGTCTCGCATGAATATGTTCAGCTGGTTTTATCGGCCTATGAGGTCCTAAAATATCTATTTCTCTCACTTTTTTACTTTTTTTTACTTTGGCAAATCAAAATAAACACTAGAAAATATGACAGCGAGAGTATGATGTCCCCTGATACAAATACAGTCCACCTTTAATTGAAGGTGTCAGGCAGGCAGAGAGGTAAAGGGATCTTACCTATTTTATAGTTATGTCTAGACTTCCTTCCCCATCCCTCTGTATTTCCCCCAGGGGTTGGCGGTGTAATCCAATGGCCTGTGTAAACTAACACTCCTAGCTTTATTGCTCTGTGTGACTGCTCTCTTCCCTAAGCTAGACAGCCACACTGCACACCAGTTATGCTCTCACACACACACGCACACACACACACACACGCTTCACGCAGTACAGGTATACACATACACCAGTCGTGCAGATACCTGAATGTACCCCTTCATAACGCTCTCTTTGACATTCGGTAAAAACTGTCTGAGCCGTACATACATGCATCTCCATCCATCTCTCTTTCTTCTTCTTCTCTCTTGCTTTCACTCTCTCTTTTCAAACAAACACACACACATCATAATCCGTATCCGCCCTGGAGGCCCGAGAATCT